CCAGCGATAATTCTAATATACTAATCAAGAATTTGCATAAATAGATTAATTATTTAATATGTAATTATTAGTTTTTTTATAAGGACTTTATATTACATTTTCCATATCACGAATATCCAAATTTATAGCTTCTTCATCTTCGTTGTTTTGATCTGTTTTTGGACTTCCAAAATAGAGATGGCCCTTTAACGCTCGAGTAAGTGCCTCTGTGGCCTGTTCAAATTCTCCAATAATACTATGGAATTTTTTATCCATCGAAAATTCGGGACCTCGATATTCATTAAAGTATTTACCGACCCCTTGCAATTGCGAAACATCAATAACAAAATTTTGAATTTTTTCAATCACTTTAACGAATCCTTGAAAGATTGGATAATTTTCACTAGTTGCAAAAAACCAACTGTAATCATTTTTTAGTTGACGTAAAGTCTTCACTTCGCCTGCAGCGCTATTAACACGTTTCAGTAATACACTGCAAATTCTTCTATTATGTTCTGCATTTTCATAACATTCTCCAACTTTATCCGCGTATTTTTCAACATTCTTTATCAATGGTAAAAATATTGTAAAGTCCGTTCGTTTAGTTGCCTCAATACCCTCCATAGGATCGCCCGTTACACTCATATTAATTATTTTATTTCAAGTCAGAAATTTATTAGCGGAAAGGAAAATAAATAAATAACTGCAATTTCCTTTTATTAAAATCCATTTTATAGATTCATTCATGATCGGCTGTGTTTGTCTTACACAATTATCCATGGAATTCTTTATGGAATACGTATACCGATCGATACATGTACATGTGAAAAGTAGTCCTGCGAACCCCGTTATTTATTTAAATGAAAAGTTTAACAAAAGCTGAGTAGAGCATTTTATGAAACCTGCAAATAATTGCAAACCTGTAAATTTTTATATATTTTCAAACAGTTTTTATAATGCAAAATAAAAAACAGCGTATTTTTCTCATTATATATGGCGAGCATTGTAAAGAAAAAAACTTAATTGATTTTTCATTCTTATGTGTGTATCTGGTTCTTGAGTGATACCTAAACGCTTAAAATTTATTGATAATAGTATAAATTTTAAATAATTCAATGTTTTATAAAATAGATTTTAAATTATTCAAATATCTAAAATTTACTTCGTATGAGATCTTGGGTATCTTTATAAAAATCAATAATTTTTGCAAATGATGCTTTTCTTGCTGATGAAGCAGCAACAGCTTGTGCTTGAATAGCATTAATAAGATTTGCTAATCTATTTACTAATTAATTAAATTGTTGTTTATTCATAATTAATTCTGGTTGTTCTTTTTACTATTTTCTTTTATTACTTAAATTACTTGATCTTCTGGATCTTCTTTAATAATTTGTATTAATAGATCATTTTGAATTACAATTTGATTTTCTGAATTCTGGAGTTCAGCTAGTTGTTCTCAAAGTTTTTTTGTTATCAATAAACTTTTTGTTGTATCAAAATATTTTGTTGTAAATGATATATATTTGAATTTCTTGTTTATTTTGTTTAAAGTGTTATTTTAATAATATGCTAAGTTGATTAATTAATTTAGTAATTGTATTTCTTAGATAACTTTTATTAACTATCTTAGTTATTTGATATTTTATTTTTTTTTGAGTTGTTCTTTGATAAGAGTTTCTTTTAAATTAACTTTGTCTCTTAACTCTTCAAATAATCAATTTATTTTAACACTAATTGATTTTGTTGGATCCAGTTTGATTTATTAACTTGAGTGATTTATCCACAGAGAATTTATTTACTAATTAATTTGTTATATTTAATATCTTTAAATTTTTCTTTTTCACAGAAAGAGCATCAAATTTATTATCATTTTATATAATTTTAAGCTTTGTTATAAGAGAAACATGTAAATAATATGAGTTATTAAATCAAGTAGGAGAATTTATAAAATATAACTTCAAGTAAAAGAGAGAATATAAATATCAAAAGATAGATAATATATATTTATTTGTTAATCAATTAGAATAAAATCAGAAATATTCAAAGATAATTATATTTTTTTTAATAATTTATTTATAAACAAGTTGAATATAATTTCTTTTATTAATTCAATTATACATTATTAACTTTACTAATATAAATAAGAAGTCAATTTCAAATATTATAAGAAATATAATTTTGCTAATATAAATAAGAAATTATAAGACAAATAATAAGAATAACTTCATAATAAAAATAAGAAATTATAAGTTAATTAAATAAAAGATATATATAAAAAATAAGTTAAATTTAATTAAATTAAAATAAGATAAAATTAATTTTCTAAGCTAAAATACATGCTATATTTATAGATAAATTATAAAAATTAAACTTCTAATAAAATTATAAATTTAATTGAATTTTGAATCAAAATTTAAATAAAAATTTGAATTAAAATTCAAAATAGAAATTTGAATAGAAATTTGAACTGAAATTTCAACTAAATTTCTAATTAAAATTCAAATAATTTTTAATTAAAATTCAAATAAATATTTAAAGTCCAAATATTAATTATTAATATTATTGTTCAATAAGATTATTTTAAGTATTAATATAAAAATATAAAATTAATTATAAGAAATATTAAATCATAATAATATAAATTATATAAATTATAAAAATTACTTAGATTATAATAATAATAAATAATAAATCACATATAAATCCATATATACAAGTTACATATAGAAATTACATGTCTAAATTATATATTATATATAAAAATCATATAATTTTAAATTTATTCAATAAAAATATAAATAATTAAATAATAAATAAATAATTTATTAAATTTAAATGATTAAAAATATTAAATATCATAAGAATAATTAATAATAATAAAATAATTATGCTATAGAATATTTAAATTATAATAATATAATATATATAATCATATAATAACTAATATATTAAATAATTTAAACTAATAAACTTATATAACTTTATTATACAAGTTTTAAATATAATAAATTTTTAATAATTTTAATAATATTATATAATTATTCTGTAAAAAAAAATTTTCAATTTAATCTTATATAAATTTAATAAAAATTTTAATACTAATTTAATTGACTTTTATTAGACTTAAATTAAATTAATATTTTAAAATATATTTTAAAATAATCTGAAAAATACTTGAAATAAGTTCAAGATAAATTAGATAATAATTTTCAAAAATTATAAATCACACTAGTGATATTTAACATTACAAAAAAAATAAAAAATATATTAATCTGAATTAAATTTAAAATAAGATAAAGATAAAAATATTTCAAAATAAAATTTTACAAAAAAATAATATTGCTATCATTTCTAGTTTTTATATATGAGAATATTTAGAAATAGTTAATAGTAACTGTGTTTTTAAATAAGAATAATATAATTAATAATAGTGAATAGTTGATAATAATAAATTAATAAGAATATAGATATAGAATGAATATTGAATGTATTTAAATAATAATAAAGTAATACTAAAACTAAATATATAATATAAATTAAAATTAAAAGTGTAGTTACAAAAAATAAAGATAATATAACAATAATTGAGAATAAACTAAAACAAAAATAAAGATAAATAAAAAAATAATAAAAAAACAAGAAAATAAAATAAACAAATAAAAATAAAGTGAATAAAAAAAACAAGACAAGACAAAAGTTAAACTAAGATATAATCTTCTTAGTTTATTTCAAGTTAATTTTCATATTACATATATAGTGTTACCATAGTAATATAAATTTCTCTAATTCAATAATCTTTCATTAATTATACGAAATTTTATTTTTCTTAATTTTTATAATTTATTACCTAATTATTATTATTTTTATTCAATTGTATAATTATCTTACTTTTATTTTATTATTCTAAATCTTATAATTATATCCTAAATATCATATTTATTTCCTTTTTCTTATTTCTATATACTTTTATTATCCTAAATCTGAGATTTACAATTTTGATCACAAATATCCTACATTAATATTAATATTTCACATATATAACTATATTTAGTAATACTATATAGATTAATTAGTTAATATAATTATAGATCCTTCTTTTATATTCATTTCTTTTTTTATACTTATATTACACAAAAATCTTGATTTCAAAATCTTGATTTCAAAACTTGATTTCAAAATCTTTTCAATGAGTATAACCTGAAAAATAATCTCAAAAATACGCTCAAATTTCTAATAAACAAAAAATATCAAGTTGAATATTTTATGTATATACATATATATATATATACATACAAAGATACAGATACACACAGATATATACACATATAGACATACACAGACATACACATAAAGAGATATACAGACACATATAGACATATACACAGATATATATATAGACATATAAAAAATAGTACATAGCAATTAACTTGAGATTTCTGCTTTACAAATGCTGAACAAGCAGATAAATTATAGCATTTTGGTTGATTAATGCTAATAGATTCAACTCACAATATCAATAAACATCTCTAATATTTTTTTATGCTATATATCTGTGATATCTACAGCTGCTAGAATGTTGGCACACACTTTTTTGTTAATATAGAAAATAGTAATAATGTGTCTGAAGTATTGAAAGTGATTCGTAAATTTGTATCATATTGACATCCTCAATATTTTCTTTGTGACCAAAGTAGTATCAAAATAAATAGTATTGCAACTGCTTTTTCAGGTATCATGCATAGTGAGCAAAATTGTGATATAATCCTATATAGTACATGTAATATATACTTGACTATAAAAGATTTATCACCTGGTGATGCATAAAAGGATGAGAATTAGTTGTGAAAAGATAATTAAAAATATAATTACTGCTTGTCCTGTTTCAAATATTATTTGTTACATTAATCGTAATATTTTAAAAATACAGAAAAATGAGTGCTCTAAATATACCAGCATTTATCTTTGCTATTGCAAGTCACATTCAAAAATCTGATAGAATTATTTCATAGCAAACTTAAGTGAATCACAGCAAAGGAGTATGATTTAATAGGTATATGCTTAAAATATTATTATTGCACTTTTCTCTTTCATCATTTATTACTATTACTATATCATTATTATTATTTCTTTCTTCTTGGTTTGTTAAAAGCATGTCACAAGATCATTAAGCTTGACAATAAAAAATAGCTTGACTTAGAAAAAGTTACCTTTAACTTTTACTGTAAACATATTTTCATAGTTGATCTTGATGACAAGATTCTTGAAAAAGTCTGTAAATTTCTGTATCTAATCCAGAAACTAATTACAAATAAAGTCTTGGTAATGAACATGAAAATTACAAAAGAAAAGTCATCACTAAACCTAACATTATCAAAGTGTGAGTGCAAATTTTTTTATTACTATATGCTTCTTTGCTGACATTTCCTTCAATAGTATCTTTTTGGTCCTGAAAAACTTTTGATAATCAATAATTGGAAAGGATTCCAGCAGATATTCATAAAGACTGATTTTGAAATATACAAATGCTGTAAGATAATTAAAATATTTGAACCTGATCAGATTCTGACAGGAAGAGAGACAAAAGTACAAAGATTAGAAATGGATGAGCTTATGAAAAGGGTGTGAGATAGATATTGGTTGATTGA